AATCCATAGAGTAGATTTTGGGTTAAGGCCCCATTGTTTACCAACGATTCGCCTACAAAGTACTAGAACATTTGTGGCCGTTTGTGCCTTTTCTTTTATATGGGTGATCCATGTAAGTTTACTATCCAGGTAACATCCTAGGTATTTAACGCATTCCTTACGCCTAATAATCTGGTGACCCAGATATAAATCTGCCAGTTTCCATTTCCTTCTCCACGTGAAAACTATGACCTCAGATTTTTCAGCAGAGAAAGAAAGGCCATTTGTATCACCCCAGTGTGAAACTTTATTTAAGATCTGCTGAGCTTGATTATGTAGGGTTCCGATATCGAAACCCTGTAATAACACAATAAGGTCATCTGCATAAGCCTGTGACATGCCAGGTTCCTCCCGTAGAAGTACTAAGAGTGAGTCGAAACCAGGTTCCACAGGAACGGAGAAAGAATACCACCCTGCGGACACCCTTTAGTAATATCTCTCTTTACTTCATAGTCAGCGAGACTAACACAGATATTCCTGTTTTTAATCATGAAGATGACCCATCTAGTTATCATAGGGTGAATATGACTTCCAGTAAGGGCCTTATGTATTTTCTCGAAACCGATGTTATCAAAGGCTCCTACAATATCCAGTAGAATCCCAATGGCAAAGTGTCCGTCTATAATTGTTTTTTCTATTCTCCACACGAGTTGGTGTAAGGCCGACTCAGTGGAGAAGCCAGGCCTAAAACCGTGTTGGTCTAAGCCAAAGGTATGTTTCAGATTATTATCTGACTGGAGGTGCCAGAAAATCAATCGCTCCAACAGCTTAAGCTGGAAGGATGTTAGCGTGATCATTCTAAAAGAGTTTGGTTTCTCATATGTATCTTTTCCTGGTTTAGGAAGAAACACACCTCGTGAAGTTCTCCAAACCTTAGGAACATATCCTAAAATCAAACTGGACTCGAATATGTCCACGAGAATGTGACCAAAAATATCCCAGCCTTTCTGAAGCAGAATTGGGTAAATGCCATCGTTCCCTGGAGATTTAAAGGGAAGAAATACATCAAGGGCCGCTTTAGCCTTTTCAAAATTCACAATTGTCTTAGCAAAATCCAGATCTAATGGATTATGAAGTAGTTCCAATGGATTTTCCTGGGGGTCAGAGGTGACACTTCTGTCCCCCAGATGAAAATTCAACATGGTCGAAAGTGTATCCAAAGGGTTTATAGTATAACTGCCATCAGGTCGCATAACCGATGAGAGTTGAGACTCCTGAGATCTTTTAAGAATCTTATGTACTCTGGCAGTCTCATGGTAGGACAGAATATCTGTGCAGAACGATCTCCATGAGTTGTATTTAGTTTTTTCCTGATTTCACTTTTAAATTTCCTTTGTAGAATTTTGAAGTTAGACCAGTTAACTTCAGATTTATTTCTGACTGCTTTCCTGTGAGCTCTCCGAACCTCTAGGCGGAGGCTTTCAAGCTCCTTGGTCCACCAAACTCTCTTGCTAGGAGAGTACTTCCTTCGTTTGAGAGGGCATGATGCATGATAAGATTCAATAATGATATTTGTCAAGTTGTTTGCTTGAGTATCAAGCTCCTCGACTGTACAATTATTGTCTAAAACCTGAAGGTTAATGACATTAGAAACCAGGAAATCCTTATAAAGGTCCCAATTTGTGTTTTTAATGTTTCTGAAATATTCAGCTGGAATTTCATCTCTAATACAAAATTGTATAAGGCGATGGTCAGAAAGTGAGGGATTGTCACTTACATGCCAATTCTCAATAAGGTTATAAATATCAGAGAAGTTAATGTGAGGTCAATGACTTCTTCTCTTCTTCTGTTAACAAAGGTGGGGCGATTTCCCCTATTTACCCAAGTTAGGTTGGTATTCATTATAAATTCCATGAGTTTTTCTCCTCTAGGATTAGTATCAGAACTGCCCCATGACAGGTGGTGAGCGTTAACATCACCACCAATAACCATAGGAATATTGTTTATTTCACAGAAGCTCACAAGATCTATAAATTCTTGCGGAATGTTAAGGTCATAAGCCATGTAAACCGAGCAAAAACAAATGTTTCCTCTCAGTGAACTGTTTATGTCCTTAATTACAATAGCAGTTAAGTCCTCTGATGTAAATTGGGATAATTTCATAGCCTTTATATTTTTAGAAATGTAAATGCTAGTTCTAGGTCTTTTATCAGGTCCCTCTGTCGAAAAGAAGTGCGCGTTCATGGGCCTACCAAGGATTTTACCCTTGTACACCCAAGGTTCTTGAATTAAGGCAACAAAAGTGTCTTGCTTACCTAATTGAGCAGCTAAATTGTATGAAGCTGCTCTGCTATGTTGCAGGTTTAACTGACTAACCTTAACCATTAAAACAGGTTAAATGAAAGAAAAGAACTTACCCTGAAGGATTTTAGGAGAGACTTAGTTAAAAGCCGCATCCTTAGCATACTACTTCAAAGGAAGTAGTGACAAGGGAGACCTATTCAGATGTCTTCTCCAGAGCCTCCAAAGAAAGCTCTGGTTCCGACTCCTTTTCGGTCTCCCTTTCTTCCGTCAACTGTTCTTTGGAGGATCCCTGGGCGAAGGAATTGATTTCTCCTGTTGCCTTGGTTCCTTCAACTGTACACAGCCACGGGCACCACATAAAAGTTTGAAATTCTGGGCCTCCAGATAATCCATAAGTTCATGTTCTACTCCCAGCACCAAGGTATTACCTCCGTCTCCAGGGATAACTGCCTTGATGGCGATCTTCTTAACATCAAGGCCCTTGTTACAGGCATCAAGGAGCTTGATGTTATCTTTTGGTGACCTGTTTCCAGGAAACCAAGCGAAAAACCTCTTCATGGGGGGTCTGTCTCTGGGAGCCATGGCATGATAACCTGGATGGTTTTCTTCAGGGCCGGGTAGATCATTAATTAAAGTCTTCAAGACGTCCACAGTCTCCTGGTCCTCACATGCAATGTTGAGGCCATTCGGCTGCAGGACTGTCTTGTGGACCCTGCAGGTGGTTGATGGAGCCATCGATAATTTTCGGTCATCAATTATAGAAGGTGATGAAATCTGAATCCACCGATGTTATGTCTCTGGAGTCATCCTTGCAGACGATTCGCAGAGTGATTGCCTTCCTCTTGCAGCTTGACTATAATAGCCGTGTCGTTTCTTGAAGGGCCATTTCCGGGGTGTCACCAGCAATGCGTTCTCTCTTAGGAGAACTCTTCATTGCTTGGAATGGTTCTTCCTTTCACCGGTTTGGAGGTTGCTCCAGAGGTCCCAGCTTTATCTGTTTTCTCTTTCGCTCTCCCTTCTCCCCAGAGATCGAGATCCCTTCCATGGCCCTCTCCAGTCGTTTTCCGCTCTCTTCTGGCGTTTGCCTTTTTTCTTCTTCTTTTATTTACAACCTCCGTCATTGGTGACTGGTCATCCGCTTGCGCATCTGGCACAGTAGCAGTTCTGAACAGAGGAGTTCAGTATCCATCCCCACTGGGTTCAAGGCGTCCGTGTCCGAAGGCACATTCACCCTTTCACCAGCGGTTCTGGTTTCTGTAGTCCTAAAGAGAAGAGCGTCCGCACCCAAGAGGGTACATTCACTCCCTCAGAAGGAATTACAAGTGGTTAATAGTGGGGATTTCAGAAGATGCGTTTTTTATCTAATTTTGTATTGCTAAGCATCCATTTTGGTATAAGATTGAAGGAAGGGGAGAAAAATTCCTTCCGATTTTCTAAGAGCCAGTTTGGAGGGCTAGCCCCAGATTCAGCAGCCAGTAGTGACCTCGGAAGAGCCCCCCCGCTCTGCCAATGCAGGACCCCACCCAGGCACCACCTGGAACTACAAGGCAGGCGAGATTATACACCAGCTGATAGAGCAGCCAGGACATGCTGGTTAGGCTGCCCCGGGCTCCTGTACTATCTGGCGGCCTGAGACGCAAAACTCAGCTTTTCTCCTGTATCCTCTACATGGCTGCTTCCTCCAAGACCCCTCCTCTCCATATCAAAGGTCCTCGGGATTTCAAATCCTCCCCACAATCACCGGTTTTCCCAGGGAAGAGCGGTCCGTTGGGTCGTCATAAGATTACTCATCATCAGACCGAACCTCATCCCACTGAACCCAGTATGCCACAGGACTTTGTGACAGTTACCCATTTAGCACCACCCAGGGGGCACGTGTGACAAATGTTGGGGTACTGGAGTTTTTAAGCAAGAAGTGAAACATAAGCATTTCGGAATTCATTTTTTCTCTGAAGAGCTCTTAAACAACTTTTTTGGCTTTATTAAACGCTTCTGAATTTGGCGACTTATCAACATTTTGGTGATTTTAAGATCAGTTTCTATAAAAAGTTTTTAATTCCGAGATCTGGGAATTTTTCAACAATTGTTTTTAAAGCATTGTAATGTTGATAAATTTCACTAAAATAATAGTAATATATTGAAATTATACTTAAATAACATTAAAATAAAACATTTGTATTTTTCACTGTCATATTATAAAGTTTTATTTTGGCAACTTATAATACAGTATTTTGAGTCTGAAAAATAAACAAGGTATAGAAAATGTGTGCATAAAGCACAATTTACAAAACATTTCTTAGCAAAAGCAAAATTAGCTATATAGTTAAATTAAAAATGTCTTTGTTAAAATTTTTTTTTAGTAAGATTTTTCCCTGTGTAATCGTATCAGAATATTCAGAATATGCATCAGTTTTCTCTATAAAATTATTTTTACACTTTTTCTCTCCATTTTTTTTTTCCAAAATATTTCTGGCTTTTTGATATTACAGAATTGGTAGAGATAATTTTGCTTTTTAATTTTAGACATTGGAGCTTCGAAAGCTTAAAAGAATTTAAAGGCAAGATTTATAGATCCACAATTCTAGCAGATTCTAGAGATGTGACAAAATGTCTCCATATTACTAGCACATAATGGATGTATTTTACACAGAGTTTGCGATGAATTTCTTACTTTTTGGAGAAAGTCTGGAAGAAAAATGAAAACATAATATTTTACTTCTGATACTAGAATCTTTTTCGTAACATGTTTATCTTTCTTTTATTTTCTCATGGAAAAGATCAAAAACGCTTATAATCTTATCACATGGGCAGGCCGTATAGAAAGGTATTTTTTTATTAATAAAAAAAATTGAAAACTTAGGCTTTTAAAAGATTCATCTAATATGTGTTAATGCATCATACACAGAGCTGGCACTAGGCATTTTCCCTCCTGATGCAATCTTTGTGCAACCTTTCTGCTGCCTAGTGCCTTTCTAAATTCTGCTTCCAATGTCTGCTCTAAATTCTAAAAGTTTTGCCAGTTCTAGATTTTGTTGCTCGGTGTGTCGCTGAATTCTAAAAATTCTGCCACACCAGCTTTGTAATCGACCCTTACCTATTTCATATTTCTTCTGAATGTTCATATTACTAAAGTAATAAAATTAGCTTCTTTTTCTATACATTCCAAATGCACTTTTTAAAAAAATCTTTAATTAAATCAAAAATTCTAATATGAAAAAGAAACCTGTTGGGGGAAAAAAATACACGAAGAAAATTATTCTTCAAAGATATGTACAGTTATTATGTAAATTACCCAGTTGTTCATGATTTCGGCCTTCACTAGAATTTCCTGTTTTTATTTCCTCATATGATAGAGTTACTGAGCCAGCTTAAATTAAAATTAAATTGTATAATCTTTGACCACTAAAAGTTTGAATTTTACTGTTCTTGTTTAATAACGTCACCATGAGCTGGAATTGGTTTTGTTAGCATCAGAACATGCCTTTATGTTCTAAGTTCTTTTTACATAAGAGGCTTATTTAAGCCTTTGTCTAATATTATAGTTACTTTCAGACATAGCAATAATTTTCTTCTTGTCTGTCGGGGGAGGGGGGTTGGAACTATTTAATTTTTAGGAAATCAAGTAAACCCTCATAGGTATATTGTGGAGAGGCTGACAAGTTAGCAGATAAAGCATGCAGAAACTAGTCAGAGCATTGGTTTGCATATTGAGACAAATTTCTGATTATTAGAAAAGATGCTTAAAGAGAAAGAAATCGATAAAGTTTCCCAAAATGTCTGGGAAGGCTTCAAATTAAAATGACGCATAAATATTTTGTTGAGTGTTGTTGTTACAAGACATAAATGTTTTGTAACAACAACACTTTTCAAAACTTGCAAACTGTGCCTACAACAGGCCTTTCAGGTTTGTTCTAATCAGCAAGTCTCTCTCTCGAGACAAGCAACAGCGGTGACAACATTCAGTCTTTTGTTATGAATCATGCTGATTATGATCTTACTTCTCATTTTAACCTATGATGCTTGACATAAAATCTGCCCTGCTGTTTACTAAACCTCTAGACTGAACAAGTATGTGACAAAATGAGACATAAAAAAAAAAAAAAAAAAAAAAAAAAAAAAAAAAATCAACATAAAGCTAACTGTTAGTAAAATATAAATGTCACTTATCTTTCAAATATCTCCAACCAATATAAGTGTAAAATATTTAATAATACTTGTAAATTGCATTAAGTTTATTTTATTCTCAAACTTTAATTAATTTCAAACTTTAAATGTTAATTCATGTTTAATAATAATGTGTCATACTTAGGGATCTATTTTATTTTTAGAATGGTATTACAAAAGTGAAATTCAGGCATAGATAATATTTTTAATTGAATTTATTCAGTTGTCATTTGCTCATAGGTCCTTAATTTTTTCATTAATGGTCCTTAAAAGTCCTTAATTTTCGTGTGCAGAAATGTGTACAAACCCTGGTTGGCATAGAATGAGCTAAACGTTTTATCGTTAACCCACTAGCCGTTGGTGTTGCGTTGATGCAGCGGGCAAAATAAATGTGTATATAAATATAACTACCTAAGATATTTTATACCAGCAGATGATTTTGTGTAGGGAATATTATGAAGATTATTTCTGTAAAAAAATATTTGCCCTCAACAATCATTTTGCTTATATTAATTAATCTCATACTTAAGGCAAAATTTAAACAAAATTTTCGACCGAGTATTTTTGCTGAAAATACTTGACGAAAGAATCACAGTCTTTATGAGTGATCTATTTTTAGTTAAGGTCACCGTTTATCAGAACATTACATCCATCAGATGTTTATATTTGTGTTGGGAAGGATGGGAAAACAGGTGTTGCGCTGACGCAAAGGCAGCAGGAAACGGGTAATCAGTCTCCTTTTTCACTCATTCATTTCGATGTTCTGGCTGCTTTAAAATTGCCTAGAATGAGGTATCTTACATTAGAATAAGCCCTTCAAAGATTTTTTTATAAAGAAACAGATGATGATAATGTCAATAATGACCAGAATGAAACTGATGTTGTTGTTGTTCTCCCAGAAAGTGCAGAAGCTAGTGATGAAGAAGAAGGGAATGACAATGTTTTAAATAATGATGATAATATTTTACCAAATGATACTGCTGCGGAAGTTGAAATTCACATAAGAAGTAAGTTTCAGCCTTCTAAAAGCAGTTGCAGTCATACTAAAAAGTTTAAAAAGCAGAAGACTGAAAACTTGAAGTGGATAACAAAGGATCTGTCAGTTATGTCTTAGGAAGAACATAAAGAAAGAGATAGAAGAGAAACTATAAAAGACAAAATACAAGATAAAACTAGTGCACTGATTTTCGATTTTCTTTTTGGTTTAGACATTTACTCTCTTCTCCATTGAACAAACAAATAAAATACGCTCAGCAAAAAAATTGCCCGGAATTTATTGCATCTGAAGCCTATATGAGAAGATTTATTGGAATATTTGCTTACGGGATATCATTCTTTATCTCAAGAAAAAATGTATTGGTCTTTTGATAAGGACATTTCTGTTCTTGTTGTACGAGAATCGATATCAAGTTTGCAGTACAGGAATATGAAGCAAAATTTGCATTTGACAATACTGATAAGTTATATGAGGTGAAACTGTATCTAAACTTATTAAATATCACCACTTTTTACTACTGGAAATATAAAGTCCCTTTTAGATTTCGGACGCGAGATTGCATTATTCCTTTTGCAAACTCCTATTGAATTAGCTAGAAATAGATCAGCAACAGGAAGACCTAGTAAATTCAGCATTCAAAAACCATTGCATAGAGATTGTAGACATTTTATCGTAAAGTTCGTTGATAACAAAAGACTTCGTTGTAAAGAGTGCCATAGCCAGACTGTTTATAGATGCAAAGTATGCAATGTAGCTTTACATCATGATTGTAATGAAGCTTCTCATGCTTGAATCTTTCAATTGAAATAATCTGTATTTGTAAAAGAAATATAATCTATATTTTTAATATTAAATTAATTGCAAGTAAAGTGATTTGTAGATTTATAAAACGTTATACAGCTAAAAAGTAATCCTGCGCTCCACTCAAAGGAAATATCACACAAGTACAATCCATAGTCTTATTCCGCTGACGTTGCGCGAACACAACACTCGCTTTTTACACAGGTAAGAGCATTCTTTTATTTTCAATGTAAATTTATGTTATAAAGCCTTAATTTAATATTTGTTATTATTTTCATGAGAAAAAAATCATTCCTTGTAGTTTTGGTGGTTAATGGATTAAATGATAAATGGAGATTTTAAAACACATGTATGACAGTCCTGATTTGGCAAAAACAAGTAAATAATTAAAAGTGAATAAAGAAGTTAGCATGGAAATTGTTTCCAATTTGAATGATACTTGCTATGAAAATTAGGCTATTGAAGATAATTTTCAATTAAACGGACCATTTACTTCAGAGACAGTTGAAGATAATTTTCAATTAAATGGCTCATTTACTTCAACAAATTCCAAATTCAAAGCAAACATTTGCTGAAAAGAATTTCTGTTACCTCCACTACAAGTTAAACCATTGTGAAGCTTAAGATTTACTATTAACGAATTTATGATCATGGAAAGGGGAAAAAATACTTGAATACTGAATATAACTCATGCTTCTTCTTTTCATATGTCATACCTTTAAGAAAAGACATGACTAAATTCACATACACTGAAAACTAAAACAAAATAATAAAAAAAAAGGTGACAAATATGCATCTTTTAAATTTACAACTTTTGCTTTATGCACACATGGAAAATCTGCACACACACACACACACACAAAAAAAAAAAAAAAAAAAGAGAGAGAGAGAGAGTCTGAATATGAATTTAGGGTACTCTCTGATTTTACATATTCTTTTCAAAAAAGTCACAAACTCATTCGCTGCTTTGAAAAACATTTGTGAACTCATTCGGTACTAATTTTTCACTAAGCTAATTCATGAAAGGCTACAAGTATTTTCAAATATAAGGGTTAGTCTATATTTTAGGGTATCCCTTGAATTATCTTAAAGTTGTTGTTTCATTTATGGTAATTTATGGTTTCATTTATGCTTTACACCATAAAAATTTACTTGAAGTTTCTGTACACTTTGAAAGAGCTGAGAAAGAAAACATTAATTGACTGTTGTGTAAATGAAGATTTAAATGGCTTCGTTAACCTCTCAGTAAATTATACAGTGAGATTTAAGGATTTCAAAACCGTATCTGATATCAACACTATGAAAGGTATGTGGGGTGTAATTTAAAGGGATTTTCGAAAGAAGTACTACTAACAGTCCAGCAGTACAGAGGATATTTTTAATTTTTACTTTTCTGAATTAATACCGCGACGGCAGTTCACAAATATTGGTTTAGATAATTTTAAATAGTTTTTGGATGTTGTTAAGGAATTTTGTGTCTCACACATAAGCCAATATTTCCTTTTTGTGCTGTATCAATTAGATAACATGCATTTCCATTATGTTATTTCCTTGTTTGATTTAAAATACAGTTTTTGAGATTATGTATTTTTGTTTTAATTATGTTTTGGATGCCATTTTACTGGGAAAGGCACTGGACGTAAACAGAAATGGCACCAAAAAATCGCCAATTTTCGCCAAGGGGTGCCCAGTGCCCTGAAATATATTTTTACCATCCTAAGAAATCCATACAAGCGCGATCAGTCAATAAAAGTGAGAAATGTCGGTAATAAAACACTTTTCTTTTCTGAGAAATGCTCTTCCCCCCCCCACTGTTGTTTCCCTTATGTATGCAGCAATCTGTTTTTGCTTTAAAAAAAATCAGAGAATTGCACAAACTCAGCATTGTCCAACATTGGCATTATGAACTAGCCAAAACAGACATCTGTGGGTTGTCATTAAATACTTTTTGATGGCATCATAGGTTGCCGCTTGACTAGTTTTGGTGATGACTAGCTTTGGCTCATGAATACTTTTCTGCAGCTTTTGGGGGAGGAAGCAAAAATACTGAACTTAGAAATAGTGTTCTGTTGGAAAATTTATAATTTAGGATATTTAATAAAAAAACCTGTGACCTGAAAACATTTATAATGCAGTGAGACAGAGTTATTTTATAACCTATTTTCATCTAAATTATTCAAAATGAAATCTGATACTTATCATGGCTTGTAGAAAACAAATCTCCATTGTTTAGTGTGTATGCTAATGCTCTTGGTCCAAAATATAAACTGCCATTTATTAGAAAGTAGTTCAAATGCTATCATTTAAAAAAGATCAAGTTTCTTTCCACCAATATATTATAAATTAAAATGCATGGTTAAGGTTACCAAACTGAATGTCTGTAAAACAGAGTTTGTACAGTCCTTAAGAGTCCTTAAAAGTCCTCAGGTTTTTTGGAATCGATTTTTGGTCCTTAAAAGTCCTTAATTGTGACCAAAATCAACAGAAGGTCCTTAATTTTAATTATCTAAAATTTCTGTCTGTTTTTATAACTGCTATCTTGAGTGTGAATATTTTGGGTGAGTCATTGATAAAGATGGTTATCTTTTAAATAGGTTCATGGGTTATAATTTGTTTCTATTTCTAATTATAATGGTGGGATACTTGAGTTTCATAGTGAAAGAAGTGAAACAAGTATTTCAAAATTATTTCATTTTTTCTAATGAAGATATCTTAAACAACTTTTTGCTTTTGGGGATGTGAATACTTTTATTAAATGGTTCTAAATTTGGTAAGTTATCAGCATTTTGGCATTGTAACACTGATAAATTTCATTGAAATAATGGTAATATATTGAAACTATATTTAAAAAATAACATTGAAATAAAATATTTTTAATTTTCACTGTCATAAAGTTTCATTTTAGCCACTTATTTTACAATATTTTATTTTGAATCTGAAGAATTTAATGAGGTAAGATGCTATAAAGCACAATTAATGAAACAGTTCTTTGCAAAAGCAAAATAGCTACACAATTAATTAAAAATGTCTTTAGTTTTTCATGATAAGAGGTTTTCCCGTGTAATTGGCTCAGAATATTCAGAATTCTCAGAATATGTATCAGTTTTCTCTGTAATAGTCTCTATTTTAGTAGATTTTCTATTTTAGTAGAACATAATAGAAGTCTCTTTTAGTCACCACTTCTGGCCTTAGTAGTGACCTATGCCATTATAGGCAAGTGCTTGCCATTGGGGGGAGGGGAGAGTTTTCTCTATTAAATTTATTTTGTGCTTTTTTCGTCCGATTTTTTTTGATTGATTAAAGTGCTGCAATAATTACTAATTGTCACCTATGAAGGCTGAAATAAAACTGAAAATTTTGCACCTTTCATTTTTGAAAAAGATCTTCACATATGTTTTTCAAAGTTATGTGTGAAATGAAATGCAATTTTCATTTCTTATATATATCATATGTTAAAAATAAACATTTCTAAATGCACTTGAAATTTATTACAGTAAAACTTTATAAACAATTACTGAAAATTTTAAATATATCAAATATTTTTTCTCGAATCTTTGTCATATTCAGTCTTTGTTGCATTTGTCAGAGCACTAGTTATAGATTATAATTCTAAAATACCAAACAGAGGTTTTATGCTTTCAGATTTTTAAATCTGAAAGCATAAAATGTATTTTCAATTCTAATTTTTTTTTAAAAGAAAGTAGGGTACTTGCATATTTCTCTCTACATTAAAAATTGGGAGAGATCCTGCTAAATTTACACGAACCTTTCTGGGTAAATGCTTGAAAAACTAGATCACTCTTTATGTAGTCAGGTAATCCTACATCACTCTTTATTTAGATAATCAATTGGTATAGCATATAAAATACTTGAATCACTATGCACTCGAGCTTTAAGAATATTTGGCAAACAAATTCATGAAAATTAGTGCCAATTATTCTGTTGGCAAAAGTCCTTAATGGTGTTTAAAACAGCAACAAAATGCCCCCCTTTTTTGTGCACCTAATGCTATATACTCCGATTATATACAAATCTAAATACTGTCATACATTTGTGATGTTTGTTTTATGACATCATTTTGATGAACTCCTCAGTCTTTTAATGTTTTGAATCTGTGCAATAGTATAACTAGTTCCATAATTTTGGAAATACTCCACTGCTTGATGTCCTGTAAGGCAAGTTTTGATTTTTAATCATTTTTTTATTTATTTATTTTTTTTTTCAAAATGAAAGAGAAAAATTGAGTGATGTCACACTACTCTATTATTGATGCCATAATGATGAAGTATATGTTCTTTTAGTTTGCAACTTTTTAAATTTTAATTAGTGATTATGCAGCAGTTGTGTACTTGCTAAATTTTCTGCTCATGCACAATTTTCAATTTTAAATCCTCAAGTAATAATATATTAGCAGATTATGTATCAAATATTTTCAACTATCTTACCAACAATTTTTATTTGTTGAAGAAATAGTTGATAGGAAAATGTGTAAATGCTGAAAGAGTAGATGTTTTGTATTTCTTTATAATAATATTTTTTAAATTCATTTAGCACACTTCATCTTATGGCCCTCATATATTTCAAAGTATAAAAATATATAAAAAGATTTCTTTTCATTTTTAGTAACTGGAGTATATGCTAGGCGAATTTTTGTTGAAGAACTGGGAGCTCAGCCTAAAAGTGTCATTAACTGTGTACCATTAGAGGATTTTGGTGGTGGCCATCCTGATCCTAATCTTACTTATGCGGCAGGTTTAGTTGAAGAAATGAAAAAAGGAGAATTTGACTTAGGAGCTGCTTTTGATGGTGATGGAGTTAGTATGCCCTTTCTTAATTTTTTTCAGAATTTCATAGATTATGCCCAAATTAATTTTATGTGCAGTTTATTAATTAGAATAATAAATTCTGCAATACCTTTTCAATAAAAATTGGGGGAGAACTTAAAGTAGAAATTATAGCATGTATCGAAATACAAAAGAAAATATTTCTATCCCATTTTAACTTGATATTGATGTAATTTCAAATTTACTCTTTAAATGTAATTTTGGTGTATCATTATATCATAATGATAAAGTATATGTTCTTTTAGTTTTCAATTTTTTAATTTTTAATTAGTGATTATGCAGCAGTTGTATACTTGCTAAATTTTCTGCTCATGCACAATTTTAAATTTTAAATCCTCAAGTAATAATATATTAGCAGATTATGTATCAAATATTTTCAACTATCTTAAAAATGTGTGGAATTTAGTTACAACAAACAATACCTATCTACCCTGTCTTCTGCAATCAACTTTTTGTATTTATTTTATCAACTGTTCCTTTCAGTATTAGTTCTGTGGTTGAATGATAAATAAATGAAATTTTTAATATTTTTATAAATCTTGTTTGTGAGAAGTTAGAACCTATCTCTTCATCTTGTTTGTTTAAATTAAAGATGAAAGTTTTCTGAGCCATATTGAGCATAATATAGGGTCTACAAGAAAGTTCTGTTCGATAATGTTATTTAAACTTTTGAAAATGTACAATGTATGTTCAAATTACCATCATGCTGGCAAGAGATCATAAGTATCATTGGAAATTATACTGTACAATAAATATTATTAAATATATTGAAACTGTATTATTTTCTTTCATTTCTCAAACAGACAGACTTTTCCAGTAGACCTTATCTTATAAATGGATTATAAAAAAATCAACTGAGAAAATGATTTTTTTAAAAGGTCAGGTTTTTCAACAAAAGCTTATCATAGGTTTTTCAGTTGCATTTAATTATAAATAACTAATTTATAACTTATATTCACAGTGAAAAACTCACAATCAAACTGTTTTTTCAGCTAATAATGGCTTCACTTGATAAATGGATGTTTTTGTAAGTCATCACATCTTTTTTTTTTTTTTTGTTCAAGTTAACGTCTCTTCAAAATTAAAATTAATTTGCAATAAAAATGGTGTTTCAGTGAGTTTTCTGATTAAAAAAAATCAGTCATAATTTGCGACGTATTTTAAATAGAAAGATGATGGGTGCTTTGCACCCCACAATAAGGCATTGAAATATACACTATTACCAAAAATACCGAAATTATGCTTCAGTGATATCTACGTAGTTAAATATAATGCACTATTCTGTGAAAGATTCTTTACTGCATGCATTTCTTGCTAATAATTTTGATTGCTTTATTGATATGTGTTATTTAATATTAGAATTTAATTAATGCATCATAGGAACAGTATTTCAATATTATTGTAACTTAAATAAAGTACCATATTTTCTGGCATGTAACACGCACCTATAATTTCAAGCTGCATATTTTATATTTTTAGGTATATTTCCTGTGTAATGTGTACCCTTTTCCATATGAAGAAACATGAAAGATACATATTCGATTCTCATTTTTTTTGAAGTGATTCATTCGAAGATTTTTTCTAGGCATTCAAACAACCGTACACTGAATTGACAAGCGATAAGGGAACGATATATGTGTGATTGATGTGAAAGGCACAAAAATGTTTTACATAAAACAAGGTCCTGAAATATATCACCTCACCATACTTTTTCCCCTCTTAGCGGATGGTACAAAAATTAAAAGCCATAATAATGGTATTTCCCAAAATAGTATTTTCATTCTTTTGTGCAAGAAAGAATGGATGGATGAAAACAGTGTGAAATTGTGGATAAGAAATGTTTGGCAAAAGTGTCATGTTGCCTTAAAGAATCCATAAAGTCTTTTAGTTATTTGCATCTTCAAATCCCATCCAATGGATAATAGGAAGAAATTGTTGAAAGAGTGTAATACAGGAGTGGCTGTTTTTCCAGGCAGATTAACACCATTAGTTCAGCCTTTAGATGCGTGTATAAAGGCTATGTAGAAAATTTAAAAGAACATTGAAATGCATGGATGTTAGAAAGAAAAAAAAAAAATTACAAAAGGAGGCAATTGCGTCATGCCAGTCTAGAAAATGTGTGTGAGTGTATAATAAAGGCATGGAATGAAACTGAATCCAATATAATTCAGAGGTCATTTAAAAAATGTGCCCTAATAATCTAGATGGAACGGATGATGATTATTTATTTATGGATCAGTGTAACAGTAATGAAGGTAAAACAGAATTCGATGATGTGCCTAAAGATTTAGCAGATGACAAATATGACTAACTTTTCATGTTATCTGATAATGAAAATTTTTAAGTTCATAAGTTATATCATTGCTCTAGCCATAGTTTAGCACAAAATGTTACCACACATATGTATACACATTAAATTTTTTTTTATATTATTATTGTAGGGTAATGTAAAATTTCTATTCGCTAAATCTGTAAGACCTAACTTGAGTGTAAAAGTTATTAATCTTAATTGAAATTTGAATTTTTGTATTGCAATCATGTAATACTGAAGAATATTTATGGCCATTGAAACTTTAATATATTTATACTATGCTAAAAGCCAGACTTTCTACAAGGAATGGAGATTTTTGTATCTTGTTGTATTTAAGCATTCCACAGCCATTAGCAATTAATTATGCTGGTTTATTACATGAGGATCTTCATATTTTTTTCATCAAAGTTTATTTTATTATTATACTGTATTCTGTTACCTTTCTGTGTTTATAAGTTTCTAAAGTCTAATTTCCATTGCTTTACAATAAGAAAAGTGATTCTTCTGCAATGAGTAAATAACTAGCGTAATTTCATGAATACATGAAAGAAATATTTTGATTATATTTTGAATATGACAATTTTTGCAGAAGACTTTGGCAAAACAAGACTGTAAAAATTACGTTAATGATATTCAACCAAACATTTTCAAGAATTGTGAACTTAACCTTCCAGCACGCGCACTGGGCAATTTTACATGAGCGTGCGCATGTCGTTTTTTTTACAACATTCGTTATTTTACCGTTTTGGGCACAGAAAACGAAAGAAATGAGTGAATATTGATAATAAATTTGTTAAGAAATAAAATATTAATCTTATTATTGCAAAATACAAATGATATCACATTCAATTATAAGTAAATTATTTTCAAGTTCTTATGTTAGTAAGATGGAAATGGAATGATGTAATTCATTATAGAAATTTTTAAATTATTATTTAATAATTATACTTTAAAATCGAAGCTAACTTTAATATTCATCAAAGGCAAGTATAGACAAATAAAAAAGTAAAACACCTTGGTAGGAAAAAAAGTAAGTTTAGCAGTACTTACTTCTGCAAGGAAATTACAAAACGAAAAAAACTTCTTCGTGTTACACTTTTAACTAACTTTAATATTTTTATTTATTTCTAAAAAATATAAATAAAAGAAATTAAGGAATGGAAATCGCTATTGTTCTCCCATCCAAAGGTTTCCTTGTCTTCCTTTTCTTCATCAGATAATTCTTGAAAAATGCAAGCCAAATCAGCTGGTTGCACGAATTTTTTTCCCATGAAAACCGATATAAAATTTACAGAGCAAAATGTATTCAAATTAAAATAATAGATAGCAATTAATAACACAAAAGTACAAAATATTTGAGAAAAAAAATGTTTTCCGAATTTCCACCCACAACATGCGCATGTCGTAAACTTTACGAAAACGCTGCCATGCAGCACAAAAGCCCACTAAAAAAGAAAAAAAATGACCTTCAGATGTCTCAGCTTCGATATGCGAAAAATGTGCATTAAAAACTGAATTTGTCATAAATTTTGCGCATATGCGTGTGCTGGAAGGTTAAAGAATTATTTCTTGAAAAGTTTAGAACAGTTTTGTGATATTTGGAGAGAATTTGATGAACATTAAATATTTCTATTTTAAGAGAAAACAAACTTATAAACTCTTAAAAATTATATTGTACATTTAGTTGAGATATTATGTAATATTTTTGTAATATTTCTATATTACATTTTTATGTATCATTTTGTATGTTAAAGTTATGACATACAAACTAAATGAATCTCGTGTTCAAAAATAACAGAATGATGAGGCATAGTGAAATCTGAAGGCTGTGCCCTTGAGGAAAATTGTTTTCTGTCTCATTAAACAAGGCCTGTACTGTTTATTTTGTACAATATTTATCTTGATTTGCTAAAGAATGCTTTTTTCTAAAAAGGCTTTTCATTTGCCAAGCCCTTTTTCTTTTGAAGAGGAGTATTAAAAAACTACTAATTTAGTGGTAGTCCTTTTAGTTCCTTATTTTAATTTGTCTGTGTTTCCTTCCTGTCCTACAAACTGTTAATATATGAATTTAAAGTATGAGGGTTGGAACTTTAATAGTGGCAACACAGCTGAAAAAACGCTACGCAACAAAACCAAAGAATATCGCGTATACCACATGTGAACTACATACTACATACCTCTCAGCAAAAAGACTCGTCCTCCCTACGTCACGCGCATGGGGAGTCACGCGAAGAACGGATCCTTGTATTAGCTCGCGGTCTAAAAGTAAGTGTTGTCAGGATGTTTTCAAAACAAGAACAACGATGTTGGATAAAAATTGAATGTGCCAGAGGTCCTACAGCACGACAGTGTCATCAAGGGCTTCAAGATTCTTGCGGGGAATCTGCATTGCCTTACAGAACCCTAGCAAGATGGGTGAAAGCATTCAATGAAAGATGCCAAAACGGGGCAGACGTGCTGCAGCCAGGTCGTCCGAGTGTCAGCGATGCAGACATGCAAGCTGTTGCCGCACTAATGGACAGTGATCGCCGCCAAACGATTCGTCAGCTGGCTGGACAAACAGGATTAGCGCATACAACTGTGCTGCACATTATGAAGGAACGCCTGTCCATGAGAAAAATTGCTTCACGATGGGTTCCACATCAGTTGACGGAAGTGCAGAAATGGCTACGATACGATGCTGCCCCAACTCACCTATGAGCGCGAAGGAGATACTTTCTTACACCGTATCATTACGCTGGATGAGACTTGGGCCCGATTGTACCAGCCAGAACTGAAACGCCAATCAAACGAATGGCGTCATCACGGGTCACCACGACATTCGAAATTTCGTCAGAACCCCAGCAATGTGAAAGTTATCGTGATTCTCGTATACAACTGTGATGGTGTCATCCTAACGCATACCGTTCCCCCACAGCAGACCGTCACTGCGCAGTATTACTGCTCATTTTTGGAGCACAATCTCTGACCAGCTTTGAGAAAAAAACGGTGACACTTTCTGCAGAACGTTCCTCTCATTTTGCATGACTTTACTCGGCCGCATGCAGCGCAAGCTGTGAGTGATTTGTTCAAGCGATGGGGCTGGGAAGTGCTTTACCATCCACCATACTCTCCAGATCTAAGCCCTTGTGACTATGACTTAATTCCTAAGATGAAGGAACCACTTTGTGGCACTCGCTTCCAAACTGTTCCTGAGATTCTTGCAGCAGTAGACCGGTCCATTCAAACTATCAACAAAACAGGCGCTGCTACAGGTATTCTGCGACTTCCACATCGTTGGAAACGGGTTGAACACAATGCTGGCGACTATATTGAAGGACTGTAAAACATGGTGACATGAATAACTTTTGTATTCCTTGTAAATAAATAGTTGCCACTATTAAAGTTCCAACCCTCATATGTCATCTCAAATTAATCCACATCATGCCATTGTGTAAGAATAGCATTGCAAACATTTTTTTATCCAATCACATTAAAAAAAAAAAAAAAATTTGACAAAGAACCAACTCTATAAATATTGTTTTCCTAAATCCACACTTTCCTGCTTCCCTTTTGTTGTGCAAACGTGCTGTTCATCACTCTGCTTATTTTGCATTGTCTCAAAATGTGATATGTTATATGAAATTATGGGACCATCTTCTCAATTATTGCACCCAAAATGATGTGTGATTGAGAAATTTATGTCAAGAATGTCCAGCAATAAATTAATGGTTCCCCCCCCCCACCACACACATTTGCGTGTAGCATCTTAGCATCTTATGTATCTATGCAGCTGTTTCCTAATCTCAAGCTATCTACAAAATATATTATATATATATATGCAAACCTATCTTTGCATGAAAAAGAGTAATAAAAAATAACCATTAGCATATGTAAGTTATATGACTTTTTAATTGTCATATTCTTGATGATGATATGAAAATCAGAATTTTTTTAGGATCTTTCTTGATCCGTAATATAGCAAAATTTTTTAATTATTCTGCATATATTCTTGAACAAATTAATTATTTAATTAGAATTCTGTTTGGGGAAAAAACAAAAATGATTTATTGAAATTTTAAGTTAAATATTTTGTGTTGTTTTCGGCAAACATTGATTTCTTATACATTTTGTCTTCGGGAAACATTTTTTTTTAATTTATCAAAAATTTCAAAATATCAAAGTTCTATTGTATATGCCTATTTTCATAGACAGCAAGTTTTCAGTAATGGCAATAGCCTTAAATTGTACAGTTAATTTATGTAGTTAATTGGCAAGGAAGTTATAAAGTATGCTGTTAAACAGAATGGCAGAATTCCTTGGGTTAGCTTTGTCTTAACCACAGTATTGCTTTTGAATCTTCATTGCTTTCTTGGAGAGGGAGATAAGAGAGAGTTTCATCATTCAAATTTTACATGTTTTTGTAACATCCATTTTCCTTATCAGATAAGACACAGTGATCACCAGTTGTAGCGAAATAAACTTCCGGTTCCTTGAAACTCATTATAGCAAAATTCGGCTGTAGATAACAGAGGTTTTGTTTCTTATAAGCAATTTAATGTTTTATAAAGATCTTAAAATTCTTGTTTGTTATTATTTTAATGACTACTAATTTAAATGTCTGAAGATTTATTACCTGTTAGAAAGACTTAAAAATTATTTCTAAAGGCAAATTTTATTTCATGAATTCAGCAGTTGAGTTATGTATGATTCTGAAAATGCCCTGTTTTAACAGGATCGGAATATGATACTAGGAAAAAAGGCCTTTTTTGTAACTCCATCAGACTCTTTAGCTGCCTTAGCAAATAATCTGGAAAGCATTCCTTATTTTAAGAAAACTGGGGTAAAAGGATATGCACGAAGTATGCCGACAGCTGGTGCTGTAGACAGGTAAAATATTTTATTTAAAAATATTAAAAAAAATTATGTTAATCTGTCTCATCAGTTATACTTAGTTTATTAAATACTTAAGAGCAAATGTATGCTTATGAAAGCTGCTTACATTCAGAAACTGATTTTTATTGGGATTTCAGTGTTTTTAAAACTGTTGAATGTTTGAAATTAATGACTGTTTCTCATGCTTTCAATAAACAAAAATATCTGAACAGGAAATTCTTGATTTTCTTTGCTTTCATCTTGGTAGCATGTTTAGTATGTTTGTTTCTTGAATAAATATCTAGCATATTAGTGTATTTTGATTTGAAAAATATAAGTCTGGACCAGTTTTTCTTAGAAAGGATTCAGAAGCAAGGCATCACTGTTTTTGAATAATGGCTGAGTGTTTTGGCATAAGTGAACAATTGTTCTTTGTATATAAACCAGTAAACACTCTTCAGTATCCAAAAAAAAAAAAAAAAAAAAAAAAAAAAAAAAAAAAAAAAACGAATTTTATTTCATAGCAAGTAGAATAGTTGGAACTAAAATGATAGGTGCCAATGTCTTAGAAATAACCACTGTTGTTCACTACTTCTGTGAACAGGGTGTATGATGCAAAGAGAAAATGTACCTGTTAATTTCTGTAATTAAATTATTTTGCAAATGTAGATGTAACAGAAAATGTTAACTTTCCAAGTTTCATTTGGACTCCTGAAAAACTTGCCCTATCCAAGATATTCTCCAGAAGAGCTAATATTTAAGATGACAGCATCAATGAAAGAAAAAGCTTATTTATTATGTTCTACAAAATACAAAAACATCATTAATAATTATCGTTCAGAGACATATTTCAAGCCATATTTATTCAAGAAGCACCTCACAATAATAATGCTGTATGATGGATTATATGCATTATGATGAATAGACTGTTTTGAAAACATGAATATTATTCTCAGAAAGTAAATATTTCCTGCCCCATTATCAGCCTCAGTGTGTCTCTTCTTCACAGAATTTACCACTGCAGGGGTCAGCTACGTCGAGGTGTTACTCAGGTTGCTGCTGCCCAGCTGGAAGTACTTGATTTTATTTTAGGTCATCCAAATGCCTTGTAGGTTTTTTTTTTTTTTTTTTTTTTTTTTTTTGAGTATGTTGAAAACAAGATGTTCATTTATAATAATTCAGTTCCCTTTACAGTAATTAACAGTAATTAATGCAGTAATTAACGCATTCTAAATTTCCCTAAACAGTAATTAACGCATTCACGGACAAAGCAGCATATGCTGCTCCATGTATAGAGACAAAGTACTATTTGCCATTCAGTTTTCTTGTGCTTTTAAAAGCAAAATGCCATATACCACCAGTTAATAAACTTTGAATTTTACTATGAACTTTGGAAGATTGGAGTTTACTGTTCCAGCTGCACTCGCAACATATTATGAAATGTTCCTATGTGTCAGTGTTATTCAGTGTAGTAAAGTACACTGGTGTGCAAAAATTAAGGACGAGATGGTTTTTTCAATATAACTTTGTACAAAAGCTTTCCAAATCAACATATTTAATACCTTAAGATCCCCAATACGTAAGGACATGAGTAATGTAAGCAACACTTACTAAAAGAGAAATCAGAGGAATAAAAAAAAGCTTTATTGAAAAAGTAGCATGGAGCGCAATGCGACTGAAGGCCGAAACATCCATGTGATGGGTGTCCAGCAAGAAACATCCGGTCTTTAATAGGGGATATGATCTCCCCTGACTGCTAGGCAGGTTTCACAGCATCTGCCCATGCTGAGAATGAGGGTGTCAATGATTTGTTGAGGCATTGCTGCCCATTCGATTGCAGCACCAATCGAAGCTCCGGAATCGTTACTGGTGGTAAGGTACGAGCTGCCAAGCGTCTGCCTAGAAAATCCCATACATGCTCGATGGGATTGAGATCCGGAGATCGTGCCGGCCAATCCATACGTTCAATATCCTCACTCTCTAAGAGCTGTTTGGCAGCTACTGTGCGATGACATGGTGCATTGTCGTCCATGAAAAGGGACTGCGGACCCATAGCGCCTCTAAAAAGACGCACATATGGAAGAAAAATCTCATTACAATAACGGGTCCCTTTGACTGAACCTGCGTCGAAGATGTGAAGGTCTGTACGACTACCAAGCATGATGCCTCCCCAAACGAGAACACCGCCACCTCCATACCTGTCCCCTTTCAATGATGTTCGAGGGATGATTGCAGCTTCCCCGCTCTCTCCAGATGAGTACGCGATGAGAATCGCTACTCAGACTGAATCTGCTCTCATCTGTAAAGAGTACTCGTCCCCATTCATTGTCTCTCCAATTCCGGTGTTCCCGGCACCACAGAGAACGCCTTCTCCGATGGGCAGGCGTTAGAGGTACACACCGTACAGGGCGTCGTGCAAACAGACCACCACCATGCAGTCTTCTGGCCACGGTAAAACGCGATATCGGTCGTCCAGTCGCCTGTGTCATGTGTCTAGCGATTTCTCCTGCTGTCTGCCGCCTGTTTCTTCTGGCCTGTAAGGCAATATACCGGTCATCTGCGGGTGTGGTTCCTCGTGGACGACAACTACTGAACCCCCGGATAGCTGTTCCTATAGTTTGAAATTGTCTCCAAAGTCGTGAAACGATGCTGTCAGCAATTCCGAACTGTGCAGCCACACTTGTCACACTGCGGCCTTCCTCCAACTTCCCAATGATTCGACCTCGGGTAAAAGCATCCAGATGTCGTCTAACAGATTGATTATTCACCATTTCTCACTGAGGCAGCAACTCGGTGTGATTTTAACTGCTATACGGGGTGCAATCTCTTTGCCAGAAATACTGATCTTACATCGACAACATGCTTTATACTACTCAGACACTCCCCCATTACGTCTACCTGCATATCTGCGCATGTGCTACTGTACATCACCTTACTTAATCTCCTGATTGGTCTTTCTGTCCGCTCTGCCTCTTCGTTCAGCTGATATGCTAATTTTTTGACTTCGTCCTTAATTTTTGCACACCAGTGTATGTATAACTGAATAATATGGCATTTGATTTATATCTTTTTTAGTGAAAAGTGTTGATTGTAATTTAGTTGTGTGTACATGTATATATAGTAAGTACTTATTCTTTATCAATAGTTTTTATAAACTTCTAACAACAAGTGTACGATACTGAATAATATTAGTTTTTAATGTTATGGATGGCATGATATTGTTTTTAACTCTCTGACTGCTCGATTTGTGGACTGAAAATTGCATATATATTGGACAATTGAAAAATTCACTTTCCTTTTCTAAAAAATATTTTTTATATAGATATTTATCATGAGAAACTAAGTTGCCAGAAAAATCAATTTCAGATGTTATCACCAAAAGAATAATCTTCTTTTAAATAAATTTCAGTCAAATTACAGTTAATTTATATTTATTGCATAATATAAAAAATTTAAATGTGTAAAATTTAAGAAAATACAAAGCTCTGAGGGAAGAATACCTTAGAAATGCAGTTTAGTATGATAGAGTTCAAAACAGGATTCAAGGCAAAGTCCAACTTCACAGTCTTTGCACCAGATTCAATAAATCTAATTAATAATCAATCTAATTATTGATCTAATCAATAAGTATAATTAATAATTCAATAATTTAATTAAATAATCAAGATAATCGCTGAACATTTTCTAGCAGCCATTTCTGTAAGAAAAAAGGCGGCAAAAAGTGAAGTTTGAGAGGAAATACCACATGCCTTCAAATGCCGCAATTTAGTGGACAACTGACGATATCTGTTGGCCAAAACGTAAACTAAACTCCTAATATTGTATATAATTTATTTCAGTAGTTAAACGGGCAAAATTGGGATGCGCTCCTCAATGAAGTAAGAAAAACACATGCAGTGGAAATTGCAGGATGAGCAGATTTTGGTACATTTGAGTTGCCCATGAAATTCGCCGGTTGAGCAGCCAGAGGGTTAGGTAAATGTTTTTCAAAAAAGATGATAAGCATGAACTTAATTTTCTATTTTGTGTTTGTTATAAAGCTTTGAATAGTAACTTAGTAAAACTTTGAATAGTTTAAAACTTGTCCAGATAAGCCACTCCTGTGTTCAACCCTCTGTTACAAACAGTTTCATTCGAAATGACTTTTATATATAGAAATACAGATATTTTTACTTCCTTTTACAAAGTAAAGGAAACATTGTAATCGAAAAAAATTTTGGATAACGTATTTGAAAGAAGGTATCCATTTTGATAATTCAATTTGAATGATGTTTTTGCACAATTCCATTTGAACGATGTTTTCATAATTCCATTTGAACGATGTTTTTGCATTACATCTATACATACTGACAGAATGAAGGGCTCTTTTTTCCAAAATGGATTCAGACGAGTTTTTTTCGCGACATCTGTACGTACATGTGTATGTATGTATTTCACATAACTCAAAAACAATAGCCTTAGAACACTGAAATTTTATACATGGGATTGCTATAACGTGTAGATGTGCACCTCCCTTTTTGGTTGCAGTTGACCGCACCAATAATATATATATATATATATATACACACACCCACTCTGTTACTTAGCTCGGTGAGCTAAGTTTTTTTTTTTTTTTTTTTTTTTTTTTTTTTTTTTTATTATTATATGCTGGTAAATTTTGCATTTTTTACTTTAAAAGTATTTGAATTTTATTATTCTAATGTTTCACTTAATGTTTTTATGTCTTTAGTTAATCTGCATGCAATAGTTGTAGAATTATCAACAATTTAAAAGTTGTTTAAGTTCCACTAAGTTTATAACAACCTGCCATTTATTTACATTTGGAACTTAGCAGCATAGTGAATTAAGTCAGTTTCTGCACCAGTCTCAGTGTCTTTTTGCTGAGTGGGGTCAAGAGCTTTGTAATGGTTTTTTAACTCTATTTAGTGTTTTACGTTTTTCTGTGTTTTGCAATTTTTAATGAAGATGTTTTGAGTTTTTATGTATTTTCTCCTTGCCACGAACTGAGAACTGAA